ATATTTCAGTGTAATGAAAGGAATTGTGAAATAATAAACAATGTTTAGGTTACAAATAGTAATTTTAAGACTTCTAGGGTGTAATCATAGTCAATTGATCAGCTGACAAAAATAATTGCATGATGGGTATGATCGGTATAAGAGTTTGGCATGATGGGTATAAGAGTTTTTTAATTCTTTATACGAAATTATATTTGAAACATGTGAACCTAACAAAGCGTTATGGGGAATAACAGATCATCCAGTTTTTGTCAGAAACAACTGAAAAAAAAAAACAAAATACTGATGTAACAATCAAAGGAAAAATATTCGATGTAGAATAACTCCAATCGCTTGTTCTAATAATAATATGCGGCATTTTATGCACAAATTCCTCACCATGAGTCAGACTCATGGCTTTTGTTTATGACACAAATTCTTTACCACGACTCAGACTCATGGCTTTTGTTTATGACACAAATTCTTTACCACAAGTCTGACTCGTGGTTATAGGCCAAAGGGTTAATAAAGGTTCTACATATATCCCATCTGAAGTTTGGTAGCTTTCTACACTACCTACATTGAATGAATACTCAATTTAAAACTTCAAGCATTCTCTTTCAATTGTTATAACCTAGGATCTTGTTAGGTGATATCTTCTGCTTCATTCTTTCACTCAACTCCATGTTTCTTTCTGCCTTTTCTACACAAGATAGAAAACTAACCTCCTCACCATGTTATCATTTGTCTTTAACATCTTATACATACATAAACTACTTGTTCTCCTCTGTAAGTTTTCTTAACATTAACTATAGAATACCCTTCTAGTATTTTGTATATTCACTCCAGGCTATATTTTATTTCTAATATTTTAAGATGTCCTTAATTGATATAATTTCTAAGCTGTCATAAGTTTCTGTTTGGAAATTACACAGCTACCATTTTTATTAGGGAGAGACGGAGATATGAAGCAATTTTGCCTTCAGGACCGGTTCAGAAGCACATCGTCTTCTATCCCTTAACCCATAAGCCACTGCGAGCAGTGATGTCACAAACGCTAATCAGATTGGTGGATTTCTAACGTTTGCTTACATCTTTTTTGACAGTGTTTACTTTTGCTATAGAGAGGTCCACGGCGATAATAGGTGCAAGATCGTGCAGTGCACGAAGGCACCGTGTTAAAAAGCGATCGGGCAATCATTAAAACAAGCAGTTCTGAACAGGAAAATTTTTGTCTTATTTGAATGCCCGCTGACTCAGGTAAAACCTGGGAAGCTACTGATTTAGGATCTGTACCTAGGCAGTCTCAGCCATGGGTGTTTAAAATCCGTCTCCGCAGGACTCAAGTCATTGCTAGTGATGGCTGTTTCAGACTCGGCAGGGACCAAATGGCATTCTTGCCCATTCTGTTATAGTCAGATATTCAAGGTTGTCCGACACGAAAACACCCCCGTCTGTAGAGTTGGTGAAATCAGTGAGCCTTTAAACTGCTCGAGATTTGCAGTGGTCGTTTGGAGCCTTAAAACATCATATTCATATCCTTCCATGGTTACCGCCTGGGGGGCCTAAAGCCAACATCTGTATACCATGACATATTGTTAACAGGCCAGATTCGTGGCCCGGTCTGTCTGACGGTGTTTAAGATACTTCCGACTGTGATGTCCGGCGTTGAGGTCCCTGATGATAACAGATGTGTTTACTATCCCTCCAGAATGGGGACGTCTAATGTGACTTGCTGAGTATTCCTGTCAACTCAGCTTAGTATTAGCTCATGAGCTCGACCGATAGGTTAGAGGCTCAACCCCTAGAGGTGATCCGAGAGAGGGCTGGGACGTTTAACTGTGTTAAAGCGGCCTCGAGCTTACCAGGTCTGAGTACCCCTTCCTCCTAGCACACTGTCTTATTTGGCCGAAAGTTATAACCAGGGCAGGAGTTCATCTCTGGTGTTCTCTTCTGTCTTATTTGAACGCGAAAATATGTGATGCCAATGAGTATGTAAGACACATTCAAGAAATTGATTATACCTTATTTTGTGTCTGCTGTTGCAATAGTAGGAATTTGTGCAACATTTATCTTTTTTGTGATTGCTTATTGTTATTGTTTTTCTACATAAAAAAGGTAAGTACAGTTACATATTATTTTTAACTTAGGTTAATTTTTTAATTCGGAAAAACAACGATTTGGGCATAATTACTCGAAAACTGTTTATCTCTCATGTCTGAACCATTGTCGTATTCTTGGCTGCATAAATTACTAATATCTAAACCATTTTCTTCTGAAGTCTTTTAATAAGAATGTTGTTCGTTATTCACCGGTCGTATCTGTTGAAACACATAATACTAAAAACCTTTCTGCAGCACTAATATCCGTACTTTCTAAATTAAGATACCTCATACAAATTAATAACTGTTCTTGATGGCTGGCATCAGGGGGTACAATCAAGTAAAATAGAAAAATACTTTGCCCGTTTGACCATACTTAAAATAATTTGCTTTATATTATTCCCTAATAATCTAATTGTTTCATATTGAATTTTATCTTCAAGGTAATGAAGCATATTTTTTTTTTAGTTTGAAATATATGCAGATATGATTGGGTCAAATTTTGTGATAATTTCTATACACTTTAAAAAATTATTATTTCTTTCGAATAACTTCTTACTGGAACCATGGAAAGGAGCAGAAGGTACGCCTGCCGTTGGCAACAGCTTTGAGCACCTTACAGGTGCCAGTGCGAATTAGCTCAGTTTTGCCCCCAATTTTGATGAAGAGCATCCTGGGGGTGGGTCCAAGCGTCTCCTCTTCCCCTACCACCAACCTTTCAAGAGGACTTTCGCTTCACATATTTAGAGTGCCCCTGTACCGCATGGACATTATGCATTTACAAACATCCATGTCTTCTCCGAGATTTGAACCCGGGCCCTTCGGCACCACAGTCGCCAACACTAACCACTATACAGGTTGGGCGGCAATTTATAACATAAATGTATGTATAATTCTTCAATAAATAGAGTGTGGGTTTTAACAAAGCACAAAATGTTTGCATACTTAGACAAATTAAAAGATAAAATGAATTTTCTTTCTTTTTTTCTTTCTTTCTGTTTTTCTTATTATTATGCTTATACTGCTTCATTTTATATGTTAACCATAAGCAAAAGGCATCACTATATAAAGGCGCTTGCTAGACATTTGCACGACGGTGACGATTGGCCTTTGCGCTGGCCTGGCTATCGAACGCCATCGGAGTTTAACTCTTAATTAATGAAAATACACCTAAATTAATTTAAAATGCAATTTATGTACAAGATCAAATGGTTAAATGAAGAAAAGAAATCATGTATGCTGCTGAAGGGTTTTAAATAAAATGTTTTGTGGCTGTTAAAATTTCAAACTTTGCTTTTTGAAAAAAAGAATAAAACAACAAATTAATATTATTTATATTGATTATAATGTATTAGAAAATATATTATATAGTTCATGTATTAAAATTATTTTGAACATGCATTACAAAGATTTAAATAAAAGATTGTAATTTATGTTTATATTAACCATTGAATAGCGATATTATATAATATATCTATATTATATATATGTATTAAAATTCAGTAATAAAATTTTTAAGGAATTTGAAATGATTTTATGACAATTTAGACAGTTTATATTCTTTAAACTGCGTTTTCTCGGTTCGCCTTTTTTCTATAAAGCCTTTTATAAAGTCTATAAAGTCCTAAAACATATATAGATATGCACTAAATTATTTAATATTCTTACCGCTTATTTAAATTCATATACTTTATAGAAACAAGAATGGTTTTTGCAAAATACTGAAAAGAAAAATTATTTGAAGTGAAAATGTGATTGAGATGATAGTTGTTTCAAAGTTTTAATGTAAAAATATGTTTTGAATTTTTCTCAAACTAATGCATTAATTGCAAAATCGTTCCTTAAATTTATTAAGAACACTGTGCTAAATACAATAAGAAAATTTGGGGGGGGGGAACATTGCAAATTGTAGGAGAAGAAAAACATTTTAATTATAAAATATTTCTTCCAAAAATTTAAATTAAAAGAAAATTAGTGGGAAAAAAAAATTTTCAGCTTGAAATCATTTTGTCATTTTGTCTTACAAAACCATTTAATAATATTCAGGAAAAGTAGATGAAAGTTCTTAAATTTTAAAAAAATCATTCAAAAGATATCGAGTCCCCTGGTCGCGTTGAAGCTGATATGCGCGTCTTTAGTCTTAATTTGAATGGTATTTCTCGAATACCCAGCATCAGATAACCTTGTCTATACTTGTTTACAAATTTCCATATTTTGTATGGTGCTATCAAATTTTTTCTATGATATCGCATCCCCAGTTGCCTATAAACGTGATTGTGTTGCTGACAGTCCAGCGACCAGTCAGTTTCACGTCAGCATGTTGTTTGCTAAAATTAAGTGAACCGTGCAATGCAGTAGGAGAAATCTCCCCATTTGTCTTGCTCCAGAGAGGTAGGAACATTCTACCACGTTTTCTACCTTTAATTCTGAGAGGCAGTCAATGCTTGTTTGCCGTATGAATGGGACACATTGGAAGAACCTGTTTTCACTACCAGTCGAATCTGCTTTTGTGAACGGAGCTTCTTTGCATTATACGAGTACAAATGAAGAAGTATTACAGATTTCATATTGAGACTATTTTGTATCAAATGATGGAATTTTTAAGCAATTGCAATTGGTTGGCGATTTTTGGCGACATTTACAGTCACTTCAATTGCCAACCGATATAGATTAGTTCTATAAATAATTCAAAATCAAATATTCCTTTTCTTAAAGCACGCTCAAGAGAATAGCATAGCTGGTGCCCTTCAAAAATCGATGCTGTCTGCTTATATCATCTATGTTAGGAACGGATTGTGTTTTACTTACATAACTTTCTGTGCTTTTAAAAGACATCTTGAACATATCTCTGGACTTTGAATTGCAATTATTTCTAAATAAAGGAAACCTTTTAACTTAAATTTAAATGTTTAATTTTAGGTTTCAGCAAAATATGGTACTGGAATTGAGAAGATTTTTAGGTCAATCATTGAAAAGATTCCTCCGTAAGTTCCATACTTTTGCAGTATTTCATTTGAAATGTTTAATTATGCTTTGTCAATAAATATTATCAAGAGTTTTTATTCATCTCTAATATTAAATTACCATCAAATTGAAATGTATAGTAATAGTTCATGCTATATAACGGGCAAGGCCAAACTGCGGCTGTCCAAAACCTTAACTGCGACCTACCTTGGGGCATCTTGACACTTTAACTGCAACTTTCTCTCAATAAACAGTACCTTAATTTTTGACATATAATTGCATTTTGAAATAGAAACAGTGCAATGATGAGTCTTTTTAATAATTATTAATTTCCTTCTTAAAGTATATTATGTATGTAACAATTAATTCATTTCAAGTTTTCCTCTGCAACTGTATCATTCCCAGAATAAGAAACAGAATTGCAAATAGTTCTATTTCTGCCAATTACTATGACAGGCATGTTATATTTTTAGAACAGATAATGGCCATCAGGGTAGTACATAATATACTTATATGTGGACAATTTAAAATTTATACTTTCAAATTTGTTTTCCTCTGGTTAATTTTATTTCAGATAATTCCTGCTTGTGTTCTTTCCGTGTAAATCCCTTGCTTTACAACAACAATCATAATCCATTGTCTTGGAAGATTTGCTATTTTACCTAGGATACTAGTTTTACTCAGTCTTTGAATAGCTAAGGTAACTACTGAAAGAATCCCCTTCTTAGAGGGAAATTGCTGTCCATGTCCGCTGTCCTCTTTTAATCTGGGGAAAAATTTGAAATTCCTGGATTTTATAGTTAATCCTTTTATAAGTGAGCTTTGAAGTTAATTCCCCATCCTTAAGCATTTTAGTTCAATTTTATGCAATTTTCGCATTCATTCACACAAAAATGCTGCAGTTACACTCTTACTCCTTGTAATGGCCTTTATCAATCTGAGAAAATCCCCTGGCCCTGATGGCATGCACGGACAAATGCCAGAACATTTTGGCCATAGAGGCAAGCAAAGACTAATCCACATCAGCAATATGTTTTGGAGGAAAGGTAGATTACCATCTGAATGCAAGAGGGCCTTTATTCTTCCAATAAAAAAACGAGGCAGAAAGGCATGTACACCAGAAGATTTCAGACCCATAGCTCTAACTTGTACAGTCTGCAAAATTATGGAGGAAATGATTTTAATATGAGTTCAGTGTTACCTAGATTGTAACAAATTAATGCCCAGTGAACAATGTGGCTTTAGAAGATGCCATAGCACTATAAATCAAGTTCTGCATTTCTGCCAAACCATAAGAGATGTTCAGATCCTTAAACCTACTTTATGAGTAGGTTTAAGGATCTGAACAAAGATTTGAACAATGGCTGCACTTTTGAACTTCACGTAGGCCTTCAGTAGAGTTTGGAAGAAAAAACTGATTTTAAAACTGCATGACAGACAATCTTCGAGAAAATACTTTATCATAATTAGAAGACTTCTTCAGCAAAGACATATTAAGGTAAAAGTTAATAAAACTATCTCAGGCTCTTATAATCTTAGCCAAGGTGTCTCTCAGGGATTGGTTCTTAGCCCTATTCTCTTCCCCATGTATATGGCTGGTATGGAGAAAGTGCATTCTTTGGATTTAAGAATTGGAATATTTGCAGACGACATTGTCCTCTGGAGGTCTAACACTAATATAACTGAAATAGGATTGAAACTCAGTAATTCTCTGACAGCTTTGTCAAACTTTGATGCAGAATTGAAACTTTGTTTTATACCCAACCAAATCAATTACTTTTTTTACTATAAATAAGCACATTTACAAATATCAGCCTAAGATTAGGCTTAATAATCAACAACTTACCTACGAGAAGCAACCTCAATATCTGGGGATTATCCTAGACTCTGAATTCACAAGCATATTGATCATTTCGTTCTGAAAAGTAGAAAGCGACTAAACATTCTTAAATACATTGCAGTAAGGACTGGGGAGCTGACACGACTACCCTCAGAACTACTTATTTGGCACTCATTCATCCTATACTCGAGTTCGGGTTTTCAATTTATTGTTGTGCTCTGATTCCAACCTGAAGAAATTAGAAATTGCAGTAAGGATTGGGGAGCTGACACGACTACCCTCAGACCAACTTATTTGGCACTCATTCATCCTAACTCGAGTTCGGGTTTTCAATTTATTGTTGTGCTCTGATTCTAACTTGAAGAAATTAGAAAAACTTCAATTAAGTACTGCCCATATTAATACTGGGTTGAGGCACAGCTACCGTATGGAAATAGCCCTTTTTGAGGCCGATTTACGGCCTCTTCACACTAGAAGACTAGCTGGTCTTGTTAACCCTTTGATGCGCGCAATATTATTTTTATAATTTTTTTAACTAAAAACTCTAGAAATTGAATATTATGATCCTAGAGACAAATAATATATGAATTTAAAAAAAAATCTACTCTTGCCCATTGTTTTGTGGGTGGTGGTCGCACTGTGAAACCACCGTGCGTCTAGGACTTAGGAAGTTGGAAACGTACCTAGGAGGAAGGAAAAAAAAACTTACCTTTCTCCGTGCACGTTTCCAATAAATGATGAAATTTACGAATTTAAAAAAAATGCATGTAAGAACTGCATAATATATATATTTTTTTTACATTATTTTACGAACTAAATCGTCAGAAAAAATTAAAAAATAAACATTTATGTAATTTTTCTATAGCAGTGAAAGTAGAAGTACCTATATAATAAGTACGTTTGGCTACATGGATTTAAAAAACTGAGTAAAATAAGGATAAAAAAGACTTATTATATAGTGTTTTTTTGTTTTTTTTAAATTTTAAAGAACAAATATTTTTTGTGACACTGTGCAAAGCATGTTTTGTGTTTTTGGTACATGCATAGACCCACATTGCACGTTTCACACATGTATCTTCTTCTATGATGTTTCTTCCTTGTGCTACAAAATGTACACTGATTGGATCTAAATTTCACTGGTATATGTCCAGCGTTATTTAGTTTCTTTTCATCTGGCACATGAAATTTGTGTTTTTTTTTATTGTGACACAATGCTCTAGTGGGGCAGTGGTTGCGCCCTGAAACCTCAAAGCAAATGCCATACATAAAGAGAGGTTTTTTTTATATATGCAGTTTAATTATTGCTATTTTTTATTGTTTATGATAGAAATCAAGATGTGCGATGAATAACTTTTGAAATTTAAAGTTGTTTATATTAATAAAAGGCAGTTATTTTGTCTCATTGAAAAACGAATTTGAGAAGGCATCCGATTTGAAGAACTAAGACCTAAAACATGTATGATTCTGTAGTCATTTTGTGTTATTTAGAGGTAAAAGATCAGTAATCAGTTGATTTTTACTCAAAAATTTCAGAAGGAAGAAAAGAAAAAAATTCGAAAATTGGTGGCAAACACCACGCATCAAAGGGTTAAATACTTTAACAAACTCTCTAGTTATGGCCAATACAATAAAACTTCAGTGTACCTAAAAACTGACAAAGACTAGAGAAAAGAGTCCCTTTTGGCCTAGTTGATTCCAAGAGCCCACTATTTTGCAATGTTGAGCCTCATTCACTACAGTGCTGTTTAAACCCATTGGAGGGACTCGGGGGTTCACTTTCGCTGTAACTTTTCCACTCCTATAAATAAGAAAGATTATATTACTCACCACCTTAGATAGTTGACCTTGGAGGTAATAATAGACAATATCCCCAAAAATTCTACCAAGATCTTCACAGATGGCAGCAGAAATGCTGAGTATGCAGGTAATGGCATTTATATTGAGACCTTCTGAAGAAAAATGACACTCCATCAATGTAATCCAGATCACTGTTCAATTTTCAGAAGTGAACTGATAGCTGTCAATTTAGGACTCTAAACTATATTTGTGGAGAAGAATTTTGAAGATCTATGGATCTTATCTGATAGCTGAAGCTCACTCCAACATCTTAGTAATTGGATTTACTTGGGCGATAAGACTAGTATCTTTGTCCTACAAAAACCACACCTAATTTCTCAGCATCAAGATATTTATTTTCAGTAGATTCCATCCCATGTGGATCTTTATGACAACGAAATGGCAGACAAACTAACAAAGAAGGGCTGTGGCCTTTTAACCTTTTCCTCTTCCACCCTTACCTATCTGGAATTTATATTCTCTGAAAACATCAGTTGTCATGGTGGTGCGGTTGCTGCCCCTCACCCATCTCTGGTACCTGGGTAGCAAGCCTGGTTGGACTCTAACATTTGAGTGTGATAGGAGCTCCTGAACTATGCTCTCACGTATTGCTAGCAGTCGTATTATGAGCTTCTCTTTCAAGGAGGGCATGAAAATTTTTGCCACATGCAGCAAGTTCTGAGAACATCAGGCATCTGCCGAGCACATATTAACACTTTAACTGTCAAGTTACTTTGATGATTTGGGTACACAAATTGTCAATTTTTTTTTATTGGAAAAACCAAATGTAGCCGAAATAAACATCTCCCGATATATATTTGGGTATGACAATACAATGCACTCAAAAAAAAAAAATTACCCTGAGAAATACTCGGGCGTGACATTTTCGAACACCAGTGCTAATCTCGGGCATGATAGTTAAAAGGTTAAGCTGCTTGGGCCTCTCTAGGGAGGACATTTACTCTAATCTCCTCCTTGAACTCGATTTTCTTAGAGTCTACGGTCTTTTGGACCTTTTCTGACTTCATCAGAAACTTGTATTAAAAGCAACACAACAGTGACAGATACTCTTTGAATCTGAAACACAATTTTTTCCCATTTCGAATCTTTTGCTATAATGCTTTGATAATCCTAAGCAAAATTCATCATCTACATGACCAGTAGTTGAACATGGCGAAATTTTTGGGTTCGGCGAGAGAATGAACTTCACTGGATTGACAACTATTTGAATTCTGGTCAAAACTTTGAATTTGTGTTTTGTCAATTGATCTTATTCGCAATAGAAAGCTTTTACCTTTGTCATCAAATCTTCATTTCGTTGATAATGTTGCATTAAGCAATGAGTGGTCAACTGGACACAAATTCTTTTTTCCAAATACACAGCTTCTGTCAAGATACTGAAATCTCTTTAGTTCTTGATTTTTTCTCACATATTACTTAACGACCTTTTCTTTTTAGCCCTCCACAAATATATTAGGTTAGAGCCGGTCTTATGCTCACTGCTGCCCAATGCTTCTAAGATTTCCCCCCCTCTTTATTCTGCAGTATAGTGCAGCTGAACCAGTTGTTCGTAGAAATTTGGAAAGCTAAAGTTTCAATTTACATCTGTATTTGTGACATAAATTATTTATGGTAGTTCTAACTAACTTTTCTTTCTGTATCATTAATACATGAATTGTTAGATTTAGTAGTGGTAGGTTATCTATGTCCAAAATTATCGAGACAATTCGAAAGATAGTTTTGAAAATTTTCAGTGATCCTCAGAGTACTGATTACTTAAAAATTCTGGCAAACTTTGATAGAAATTATACTGAAACAATTCAGCACTCACTGTTAGCATAAATGAAATGAAGATTTCAGTACCACTGAAATTACGATAATCCTTTTTTAGTTAATTCTTATTTACAGGGCATCAGTACAAGTCATTCCAAAGTTTTGATTTAAAACGTTCAACAATTTTTTGGTTTAGGGTTCAAAAAATATGATTGATGAGAATAGTTCTAAGATTCGAGATTTAGAATTTGATGTCTCTCTGAAGATTTGAGATATGAGGTTTTGAAATATCAACCTTAGGGGAAAAACTGTAATTCCAGTTCATATCTAGTGAATTAATTGATCAAATTAAACTCGTATATCTTTAGTATAGTAACTTTCTAGTGCTCCATGATTGTGATAAAGATGACTTGTTAAAAATATATTTTATATAAGATATCCAACATATTTTGTGTGAATATGCGTATGTTATGTTATTTCTTTATATTTATAACATCTTTGCAAAGAAAACATAACGTGTTCGAAACTTTGACAGAAAAGAATTTGCTCCACTTGTTAGCATCACACCTCTTTTGCTGCAAAGGCATGTACCAGGTGTCTTAAATGTTTATAGCTATTCTTTAATTGTGGTCACAACTTTGCATCTTAAAATGGTATAGATTAAAAATGAAATTAATCTATTCATACATAGTGGAAATCTGTATCCTGTTTAAAAAACGTTCTCAAATCTCTGTAGATAACCTTGCTAGAGCTCAAAATAATTCAGGCTGTAATGGAGAAAGTACGTGTAGAATATTACTGATGCACATGTTACTAAGTTGGCAAATATGCCACAATTTTTACTGTTGAATTTTAGTCTCAGTGTCAGCCTTACTCTTTTTCGTTATGCTCCTATAATTGCTGTGTCGAGAATACCAACTAATTTGTCAATCGAAATGTTTCCGTTTTCAATAACCTCTCTGTCACTTTCTTCACTATCGGAAGTGAATTATAATGACGAGGAACATGATTTAAATCATATCAAAGACGGAGTACATCAAGATGAAATACTACATTTAGTAAGGAATTATAAGCCAAATAAAATAAAAACATCTGCCCTGAAGATAAGGATAGTGCTGACAGATCAACTTCCAATTCATTGCGCGCCGCGGCGTTTCTCCCCACCCCCTGCCACGGAGGAGCGTGAAATTGATAAACAGATTTTGGATTTCAAAACTTACTTTCGCTTTGTAGATCCTTTACATATTAGTAAATATATATCAGAAATTCTATTTGACATAATCGAAAGTTCAAGCTTACTTTTATGAAATTGCTCTAACAGTCTTCAAAAAATAATAAGCCGGATCCAATTCGAAGATTAAGGAACAACGCAATCTGCAACATTAACTGAATTAGATAATTTTAGCTTAGCTTATACCGTCCATTATACATTAAACGTATAATGCGCTTGCGCACACGCATATTCGCAGCCATAAAGTTCTTACGTGCACGCGTAAATGCCTATGTGCATGCGTCAAAGCGTAGTTTGTAGCTTTGAGGTCCGGATTATAGATCATTCCGGATTATGGGTGTCTGAATTAACGACTTTTGACTGTATTTTTTAAAGTGTTTGTTCCATCAGCAGCAACCGTTCGAATAATACATGAGTGTTTCCATCATTGATTCATAAATATCTTTAAATAATGCATTGCAATATTTATCTTCTTAATAATTAAATGGAATTCACAGGAAAACTCCTTCAGCATTTTTGCATTTTGTAATTTGTGCAGTTAGTAATAGATATGGTACAAGCATGCAGTATAAATTTTAAGGTTAAGTAAAATCTGATCTTAACCCATTACCCGCAAAATCTATAAAGAATGATTCTTTTCTCATGAAAGTAATATCATATATTAAATTGTGCATTTATAACATAAATTTACATTGAAAATTTAAAAAAAAAATGCTCTTACATGTGGAAACAGCGAGTGTTGCGTTCGTGCAGCGTCAGCGGAATAAGACTACGGATGTTTAGTGAGTAGGATTGTACTCGTGCGATGTTTCTTTTGAGTGAAGCACTGGATTACGTTTTAGCTGTATAATGTTTTATAAATCTACAAATCACTTTATTTGTAATTTAATTTAATATTAAAATAAACCACATCATAATAAATCATAATAAACCACAAAAATCTGGAAAATCATAATAAACCACATCTTTCTTACAGACACATTTCACAGTTTCTAATGGGCACATTTGTATGCGGTTTTCCTTAATTGTTCCTGTAGCACTAAAACCTCTATTTTTTAGATGACTGAGAAGCTGAAAGGATGTAAAAAAGTTATCAAAATAAGTAGCATGATTGGCAGGAGTTTCAACAACACTGAGCAAATTTATCACCACACTTCCTCCAAGCCCAAATTCTTCATATTCTGGTAATTTTGGAGCTGTCAACTTACCTTAATAAATATTGAAATGAAACACATATCTTTCAGATGACACCAGAGTCCATGCTTTGTATCCAAATCTTATAGGTTTCCCTTATAAAAACATCTTTCCTGAATGTTTGCCTCGATAAGGAATCATTTGCTCGTCAATATTCAGATCGTGGAAAAATTTACCAAATTGTTGGAATTTCTTATTTAGTAAGTTTAGATACGACCTCACCTTATATAATTTATCAGTATTGTCAGCTAAATGCAAATTCTGCTTCATATTCCTGTACTGCAAATGTGACAATGATTCTTGTACAATACATTAGGCACAGAAATGTCCTTATCAAGAGACCAATACATTTCTTCTTGACGTAAAGAATGATATCCCATAAGCAATAATATTCCAATAAATCTTCTCATATAGGCTTCAGATGCAATAAATTCTGGGCGATTTTTTTTTTGCTATTTGTCTGTTCAATGAGAAGAGAGTCTGAACCAAAAAGAAAATCGAAAATCTCTCCACTAGTTTTGAATTGCATTTGTAAGCACGATTGTAAATTATTTAATTGTTATTAGACAAAATATCTATTGAGAAAATGGCAACAGCTAATTTCTGGATGTTGTTCTATTTATAATTTTAAAAAAATATAATTTACTGAGATGATGTACGCTTAAAAAATGTTTAACGGTACGATGCAGTAAGTACGTTTGTTATGTTATGTACGTTTACGAAAACGTTACGTGTAGGTTTATTAAGATTTATCTTTAAATAAATGTTTGTTTGCCTTTTACAACCATTTTATGAGTGATTAATTTAACTACAAAAGGAAGTTAACACATTTTGTCTTTTATAGTTTCTTTTCTACCTCTTTCTTCATTTTCGTCCTGAGACGTAACTGACGGTTTCTTTTTTTATCCATTTCAAGTTTTCAGTTTCCTCCTTTTTAAACTTTATTGTATGACTACCACAGTTTTTAGAATGCGGATACTTACTTCTTTATATGGTTTTTTAGTGTGTGTAAGCGCAATTTATTTTTATATGCAACAAGAATACTGGAACATGAGTGCATACCTTCATTTGATAGTAATGATGTCAAGTGCTAAGTTACATTCTTTAAAATTGTTTGCTTTCATATGCATCTAGAACTGCCAGCCCTCCCAGTAAGGCTGAATGACTGCCGATTTTTCATCTCATCTCCTGATCTCCCCGCTAATCTCCAAAATTCGTTTTCATTTATCCAAACTGAGATTAATATCTTTCAAACCTAAGTGAAAGATATGCAAAGAAAATTTCAGTAGTGGATTCTTAAAAATTACATGAGGCCATTTTTCCTAAAGTAATTTGTATTTTATCTGAAGTGGTTTTATATATTACAGAGTATTTAAAGATGACTTAAATAATGTTTATTTAATGAATACTTTTATTTAATTTTTCTTTAACTTGGAAATAGTACATTACTAATTTTATCCACATGATTATATACTCATAAGTTATTACTTTTATTTCTATCATCTTTAAACATTCTGAGAGATAAAACTTTTTATTTACTTTTCAAGTTTTCATCAGCATAAAACTAATAAAAAATATTATAAATTCAAATGAAATTAACCCAAAACTATAGCTTAATATTAGATTTTTTTATTTTCATATATTTTACGTTAAAATTATAACTAGTTTAATCACTTGAATTATACATTAAACTTTGTATCAGATTTGGAAATTTTTTATTTTTCTTGGAAGTCATATCACCTTGTAGTGCAAGAAACCTCCCAGTTTTTTGTATTTCAAAGTTAGCGATTATGACTTCAGCTAGAGTCAATTTTTTTTTAAAGAAGAAAGAAAGAGAAGTAAAGGAATTCACACTTTTCTTTATTGTCTTCATGTGCTACAGAAAGACTGAAAATTGGGAAAGAAACTTTGCTAGCGCATGGAGACATTGTTAGTAAAAATCAGATAATTTCATGATTGTAAATAATTTCAAAAATCTTCATTTTTAAATACCATGCAAGTAATTTCTGCATATACCGTTTGATTATTATTTTTTATGTGCTAATTAATAAATTATATAAATTTTGTTTTAGAGATATAATATTCCTTTTCCTTTTTTTTTTTTTTTTTTTTTTTTTTATACGACAATATTTACTCTTTTTCTCAGGCCACGTGGAGACCTTCAGAAACCTTTTCGAGCTTTGCTGTACGATTCCTGGTATTCTCAGTATCGAGGAGTGATTTGTCTTATTATGGTTATTGATGGTGCTTTATCTGTAGGTGATGAAGTTACATCTTTTTCAACTGGTTGTACTTATGAAATTAAAGAACTTGGCATCTTATATCCTGATGAGCTGCCAGTTACCGAACTGTAAGATATGCATTATTATATATATTGCCTATATTTATTATTAACTGTGCCACAGAGAAATTGTGCCTTTACCATACTAGTATAGAGAAAAGCTTTATAAATTTTATTGTTTATTGTCTTTCCTAATTTATTGCGTTTAAAAATTATTAAGGTAAAATTATCAAACTGCATGAAGTGTATTGAAGTTGTGATTGTGAAGTAAGCGTAAAAGAACAAGAGAGGAAACAATAAGAAATTGCTGCTAAATCTGCATTTTGATTATGTTCATTACCTCTTAAATGCATGGTTACATAGTGGTATTTCTGCTATATTAAGTAATAAATATGTAATTTCATTAATTGGATTGGGAAATCATATTTACATGCTTTTGTGTATCTTTCCATTTTTGGCCAATGAGCTAACTCCTTATTGCAGCGAGGGATCATCAAGGGAAACAGACAGTCTGTTGAAGATCCGAGTTGTCTGTGAGAACTTGCACCTTATCGAAGTTTGGTTTTGAGTTTGATTTTTAGGAGGTGTAGCTGATACAGTTTTGTAGCATGTTGACATAACACGTGACTTAAAAACAGTTAAGCCTATGGTTTTTCCTTAAACTATATTTTATATATAACAATTAGTGCAATGGGACTGTTCCTGTAAGATTAATGGCGAATTTGTGATGTCCTGATCTTTTCTCCCTGTACCTGTAAAATGTATTTTGAGAACACACTGTGAAATTTATGGTGGAGCTTCATCTTGCATACAGGCTGTGGGTGGAAGGCACTGATGTTCTTATACCAGCCAGATCAATTTTGTTCTGTAACAATTTCTGCCTGGTGATTGACATTGCACTGAACCTGCTGAAGTCTGTTAGAAGAAATATGGACCCAGAATAAATGATGCAGTAAATCTACACCATACTGTTGCTTTTAGGAAATGTAATGGAACATACAAAATCAAGAGTGGATTTTGTGAATGCAAAATTCACCACTACACACCGTCCAGTGAAAATGCACTTTTGCTCAAAGCTATTCCAAGGCCATTCTGCATCAATCTCACAGGAATAAAAATGCACTAGGGAGAACTGGAGTTTAGCTTCAAAATCATGTGGAAGCAAATGCCTCACAAGTGAAAGTTTTATGCATAATATCCAAGGATATTCTGTAAGATCTTGTGGACATGGTGTGTACAAAGTCTGTGCTGCACAGCAAACATAGGAGCTAGTTTTAAATTTGAAGCTCTCTCTTATCTTTTGTAGAGTCCTTTAGCATTCATACAACTTATTCAAAACCTGAAATATCCATAAAGCAGCTGGTGCAGAATCTGTGGTTTGACAAAGGAATTTAACTAAAAAGTGCGATTTTATAAATTGAAGGTCATTATGATGACCAGGCTAAAAACAATTTCACCGTGAGTGTTTCCTGTTTTTATAACAGCTGCTGCTTGGCATTGAAAAAATTTACAGCTGTACTGTGAGTTTCACAATAATATGCCCTCTAGAGGCAATATTTGGAACTATTTTGACTTTTTGCTAAATTGTCATTCCCATCCTTGTACTACATCATATACAAAGTTTCACTCTTTTCTGATAAATGATTACGGCTGTAGGCAGTGAATAGGGGAAATTTCATTATGGACACTTTGTAAATATCAAGCTGACCTGTTTAATATGATGTTTCATGGTTATATTTGAATAATTTTGATTTTTTTTCTACTCATAATGTGCGATAAGAGTAGCATGTTTCATAATAGAAAATGTACCAGAGCCCATTGTATTTGAGGTTCCAGTGCCCTTCTGGCTGAGTTACAATTTCCCTTATTCCCTTAAAAATTCGAAATTGTTGAATTTAGGCACGTTATTAGAATCAGCTATTTTGAACGTTATGCGAGAATAATCAATGACAAAATGAATGTCTGAAGTTCAGATCCTGTTCACATATAAGGCATGATGGAGGCTGCATGCCAAACAGATGAAGAATAGCCTTGATAGAGAAAGGACTCCGAATTTAAGAAAAGAGCTTAGTTATTGTCCATCAAGCCCACAGTGTTAGCATCTTAGAAACCATACGATTTATGAGAATTGTTTCCATCAGTCCATAGGTGGAGAATGTCATGAATGAAACATAGCTTAATTTTGATTGATTGAGTGTTGTAGAGCACCATAAATATTATGTAGTGGAGGTGAGCTGTGCCCATCAAAAGTTTCTAAGTGGTGATCGGCCCATCATGCAGGTGAACTAGGGAGCTTGCAGAAATGGTCTTGGACAATAATTTAGTAAAATTTTTCTCATATTGGACTCTGCAGCTGTCATATAGTACTTGCCACTCAGGTGAGATTATGGTTAGTGTCACTAACTGCCATATTGGAGGGCCGAAGTTTGAATCTCAGCAAGGGATGTTTGTAAACGTATCGTATCTGTGCTGCAAGGGGGCATTCAAAATGCACATTGAGCTAAAACCACATCGATAGTATATTGGTGGAGCAAGATGAGTGGGAGACCTCAGACCTTCCCCCTCAAGTACTCCCCCTGGAAATTCCATCTGGGGTTCAGCAATATTTAATATGCCAAAATGGATGTACAGGTGGCAACCTTGCTTCAGCCTGTACCTGTCGCCTAGTACCAGCACCGATGTTGACAAAGATTGATCAATGAAAGCTGAATTGCAGCTTGCATAATAGTGCAACTGTATCACCAAGGTAATGGCAGAAAGTTGTTATTCAGATGAATCTCTGTTTATACTCTATCGGGATGACAGGTAGACATCCAGCACAAAATGTTGGAATAGCACTACCTGCAAAAACGGATCAGCAGAACAATGGCCGGTTATAGCAGTGCCTTGATATGACAGATGTTTTCCTGTTTCAGCTGTTTCCCTTGTACTTATAGACGGATCGCTGAATTGATTTTGATATGTTTCTACTTGCTGATACGTTTCACATCTACATGTTTAACTGACTTTTTTTATGGTGAAACCCCCTCCAACATGACAATGCGACCATGATAACATGCTTGCAGTAATTAGGGAATGGCTAGAAGACTATGACAGGACTTCCTCTTTCCATGGCCTCCAATGTTTCCAGATCTTAGCCCCAGAATCTTTTGGATTATCTTGATAGACATGATTAGTGCAAAGAACTTACCACACACCTTACCACCTACTCCCTATAGACTGTTTGGCTTTAATTTTTGCATCAACCTTCTGGAAGCTCACTGCATCGCTCCCCACGACATCTCATTGCTATCCATGTTACTAGAAGAAGTTACTTCAACTAGACATGATTAGTGCAAAGAACTTCCACCACACACCTTACCACCTACTCCCTATAGACTGTTTGGCTTTAATTTTTGCATCAACCTTCTGGAAGCTCATTGCATCGCTCCCCACGACATCTCATTGCTATCCATGTTACTAGAAGAAGTTACTTCAACTAATATAAGTGGATGGTTCTGATAATGTGAATTTATATTTTTACGTATAACACAGGAAAAGAAGATTCAGGTTAAGACTGTAATTTTTGAAAGCTAGATATTGATTTGGTGACATAATTTTATTTATAAAATGCAAGCTAAATTTTTTCCTACTATTTCAGGCAAACGAAGCCAAGTGGTAGGCTCAGAAATAATCACTGTTAATATTTCATGTACAAAAATTATAGCATTACCTGAAATTCATAATTTTGTGAAATGTATGTACACTACTGTCTATCCAAAGTGCAACAGTATAAAGGAAGAATCCAATAGACTTGAAATTTGCACCATGCCTCAACCTCAATAGAACATGCAAATGATTAGCATTGCAGTGCATATGCAAATCATATACATAGTAATATATGTAGAAGCTATGGAAAGTAGGTTAATTTAAGTACTGGAATTCTGTATTTTTCCACTGTTCCTTGAAGCTGCTGCCCTGATTGGCTCAGTGATTAGCAATGCTAGCTGCTGTATTTTCTAAGACAGGCTCAAATCACAGAGAAAACATGGGTGTTCGTAAGTGTCTAATGTCTGTGCAATGTGGATGCACTGTAAGTGTATAATGATTGGGCAGCATGGAGACACTTAAAATACTGGTGAGATGAATGCCCTATTGAGTAGTTTGGTCATAAAGGAAGAGGGGGAGGGACCTTCAAATCCATCCTCTGAGGCATTCTCCATCAAAATTGAAGGGTTAGTTAGTGCGGTGTTACTATATCAACATTTCATTTGCTAAGAAACACCCAACGTTTTTTGAGCATTGCAGTGCATATGCAAATCATATACATAGTAATATATGTGGAAGCTATGGAAAGTAGGTTAATTTAAGTACTGGAATTCTGTATTTTTCCACTGTTCCTTGAAGCTGCTGCCCTGATTGGCTCAGTGACTAGCAATGCTAGCTGCTGTATTTTCTGGGACAGGCTCAAATCACAGAGAAAACATGGGTGTTCGTAAGTGTCTAATGTCTGTGCAATGTGGATGCACTGTAAGTGTATAATGATTGGGCAGCATGGAGACACTTAAAATACTGGTGAGATGAATGCCCTATTGAGTAGTTTGGTCATAAAGGAAGAGGGGGGAGGGACCTTCAAATCCATCCTCTGAGGCATTCTCCATCAAAATTGAAGGGTTAGTTAGTGCGGTGTTACTATATCAACATTTCATTTGCTAAGAAACACCCAACGTTTTTTGAAGTCCACATTTTTAATTCATTTTGTGCACCAACATAATTTGATCCACAGTCTAAATTATTTGTGGCATTTTTACCTTTAACAAACCGTTTTAGAGCACCAATAAACCCATTAGAATTCAAGTCACTGACAGCTTCCAGATGAAAAGGTGTCCTGATGAAGCAGACAAAAATACATATATCTCTGTTAGTTGTAGTCCTCTGCCACGTTTATGGCAAACTAGAAATGGGTCTGCGAAATCAGTCCCAGACCGTGAAAATGGTCACCCTACATTCACTCTAGATGCAGGAAGGTCATTCATAAGTTGTAATGACAGTTTCCCGCGATGACAAATGCAAATTATAGTTTCTTATAA